TTTTTTTCATAATATGATGTGGGAGTTTTAATTCGATGAAATCCATCATATCAATCAAAAACTGAACTTTGAATTTTTTTTAGTTACGACCCAATAAACATTGGGCTTGGTTAACAATTCGAAAACGATTGGAAAACTAACATTTTTTTCAAGTGACACCTTCGATAAAGAATGTAGAATAGGTTAGTATTCGATTCGAGAGCTAGGCCATTTAGGCTAGGGTACATTTGGCTTAGAAACTACTAATGAAAATTATACATTTTATATGTTGGTATCTATGTCAGTCACTTAGAAAAATCATTAAAATTGGAACAGGCGCTGTCTACACATACACAGTATTAACAACAATCGGTATCAAAAAAAATCTAAACTATAAATACCCAGTAACCATTGGGCTTGGTTAACAATTCGAAAAATATTGGAAAACCAATCTATTTTTTTGAGTCTCACCCTCGAACGAATGTGCAATGGGTTAGTATTCGAATTGAGAACTAGGCCATTCTCCAGCAAAATGGAACCTCGTTATCCAATGAATGTTTCCTTCGTTATGAATTCGAAATCCAGCCCATTATAGAATTGAAATTTTAATGAGAGAAAGTGATTGTAAAATATTTCCATTCGAAAATGAGCTGGATTTCACTTCCTCTCTTGTTACTATGGTTTTAATTTTTTTTCGAACCCATCTCGAATGTATTTCCAATACACTATGAACGATGGAAAATTAAGGTTGGTTATGAGTTCGTTCTCAGTTCGATAGTCATATTGGATAGTTTTTCAGGCTTACTTGCATAACATGTATGAATGTATGTATGTATGTATGTATGTATGTATGAATTCGAATTGAGACGAATAAAGTTATTTTTAACTTAAAATAAATCATTTTTGTTCGCTTGAAAATCTCGTGCACTTATGCACATACATACATACTACATATGTACATGCATATGTATGATTAGTGTCTAATAAGTATTTTTTTTTAGTTTTCTTCAAAACATCTTTTAAATATTTTTAAAAATTACGCAAACTTAGAAATCATCATTATATTTCAAGTACATTTTGGGTTTATGTATTCCCGGTTTTGGCTCCTCATGTAAAATAATATAGAGTGGAAATACATATCACCTTTTGATTACAGACTCCTTATATTCACATGTACTATGTGCATGTAAATATCGCTACTTTAATATAGAAATCCGGGTTTGTATAAGGTTCAAAATCATTTCAAAAATCAAAGAGAATGTAAAAACAACTATCACATAATGAAAATATAGTCTGTATTAAAAAGTGCTTTGAAAAACGCAAGGCAGGGCCTCATATATTAATCTATCTCAGGGATATTTATCTCATGAAATACTCCTCGTATGTTACAGTAATTTGTATCAATAGGAATATGAAGACTTGTTATGATAAGTAACAATAAAAAATTAGTTTACTTAGCAATAATTCAATTATATCAGAAAGAGGGCGAGGGAACATTAATTATACCATAAAATAGTGGTAATTTCGTAGGATCATGGCGAACTAATATTAAAAAGGGGGTGTCTGCGCGGAATAACACGCTACCACCAGATCGTTTCAAATACGTGACAGTTGCCGCTGCACCTTCAGTTCCATCCTCATCGACGACAAAATCAACTTTGTGTACTATATCACCCACAAAGAGGTCAGATAGTAAATTAGTACTTGCATTTCGGTTGCTAATCCATTCTTCCAGCAGTTGTTCCGTCGAAGTAGGCGGCGCATGCACAATATTTACTGGTTTATCAGTTGGGAATGTGATACTATGTCTTACATGTGGCCAAGTTCTTTCAGCCAAATCACTTCTTGGCTCTTCACTAATTCGTTCCTTAGCAAATATATTTTTAACTCCGAGTGCGCGGAATATATTTTTCATATCAATATTTTGCGTTAAATGCATTTTCGGGAGTGCAAATATGACATTCTGGTAAACCATTTTAGATATCAATCCTTCAATTTTGTCCGCATTTAAGGCTTTTAACAAATTACTTAGCTTATCACGGCTAGAATTTTTTGGTTGTATTATATACATTGTAGTGAAGTTGTTTATATATGGCATACCGAGTATACCGCAGTCATGTTCTACCGAAAAATAGTATGGGTGAGCGCCTGCTGTTGCCATCATTTGCACTTTTATTGGAGTTCTTTGCAAGCCGTCTGGATAGAAATTATCGATGACAGTAGCGCCTCTAATAAAAGGGTTTACCCAAAAGCCTTTAAAATACAACGCACTTGCAATAATTGCGTTGGTATCTGCAGAGATGTTTTCTGTTACGATTCCAATAATTTTGCCAAATGTTTTTTTGAAAATCCAATCATTAATGAAGTCACGCGCTAGTGGTTTGTTGAAATCCAATGGGATTACGTCACACTTGTAAATGGAGTAAATAACGTCCCTGAAAAATAATAAACACAAATAAACATTCACGCATACATACATATTAGGGCGGTCAGTAAAATAGCAACATCTAAATTTTGTGTGGGGCACCCCTTTATTTTGGCCTACGTACGTACGTACATACGTACAGATATCCCATTATACAAAAATTTAAAACCGCTGAGAGGCAGCCTGAACATTTTTGAAGTTTGCTAACATAACAAAAATGTTTTCATATTTTGAATCTCACAAATACATTCTCATTTTCAGTCTGAAATAACAAAAAATTTGAATAACTTCATCTAGTTGTTTTTTGTTTTACTTTTATTTGGCATTTGAGTTGCTCTCAAAATTTCAATTTTATAAAGTAGATAAACTTCAAAAAATAAATGGTGGCCGACGAATTGAGCGAGCGGTTTTACCTTTAAATATTTGTATCATGAAGATATCCAAGGAAACTTCAAAATTTAAAAAACGTTTAGGGGTCGCTACTATGTTTTGAAAAAATTTATTTTTGTTTTAAATCACAAAATTTTGACTAAAAGTAACTCGAAATCTGATAACTTTCACATATCATTGAAACTTATTCATAAATTCGCTGAGTTATATACGGTGAAAGTTAAAATTTTCCCTCATTTTTGCTGTTTTTTATTTAATTTTTTTTTTAACCAGGCACCGACCTCATTTTTTTTTTAATTTTGAAATTTTCGTGGATACCTTTATCTGATGTTGATACTTTTAGGACCACCGTAATACTTATGTACAAAGAAGAAGAGCAATACTTATGTACTTGAATACATTAACAACATATGTAACATACATATGTACATACATACCTATAGAGCGGATTCAGTTCGTAACCATTTTTCACAAACAGCCCATTTACAAGTTTTATCACGCTATTTACCGCACTCCCACACTCCTCACTCATATTCGGCTTATTTCGAATATTGAATGCTACGTTCGTGTTCCGCCAGTTATCGTGGTTGCGCGTCAGCAGGGCGTCTGAATTTTCTTGCATTTCCTCCATCATAGCTCCAAATTCGGCATGGAATGCGTTAGAGGCATCCCTCAGTGGTGGCACATCCAAGCCAAAAATATGTCTTAAGTCTTCATATTTCCTGCCTTTTGATCCCAACAATAGCATTGCCATGGACGACATTATGCTCACGGGTGAGAAAATTGAAGTTTTACCAAATTGCACATCGTCGTTCAGTAGCAAGCCAACATCATGTGCGAAACTTAAAATGCTTGAAGATACCAGTTCCGCTGTTGCCCTTCTCACACCGTTTTTTGCTTCAAAGACCGAATTACCAGCATCCGAATTGCTTCTAGGCACTCCATCTGCATTAACTTTAGCAAAAATGCACCATGGTATGCAAATTGCAAGGACAAAACAGCGTGAACTTATCATCGATAGCAGTATACAACACAAAACACACAGCACTTAGTTGTTAAGAGTACATTACGATCAAAGCTTATAGTCACAATGGGAAATTCCGGCTTATTCAGACACGGTTGAGCTGTCAAACAGGTCTTTCCCATTATCAACCAACACAGCCATCTAAAGCCAAATGTCATTTCACGTATTTCAAGCTGAGCTTTGTTTGGTCACTACAAATAAGTGAGCTTGAAATGTAATAGATGCCTAATTTCAGTGATATTAAATTTAGGTATTGTAAATGAATTTGAATTAATAATAATATTTTTATCAAATTATATATATTTTTTTAGCTTGTGTCCAACAAATACGATGTAACTTAAGCAGCAACCAAAATATTTGCCCTTGTGGTTGGGTTGAAAAATTAGAAAAGAGCAATAACAGCATACATTGGGCATATATAAATCAGTGCTTTGTACGATACTGACGCAGTTCAAATATCACTGAGCTCGAGAACTATGATGAGGAAATATGGGGATCTACGAAATAGAAGCTGCATGTAACTTCAATTATTTCATATTATTGTTTTTTTCTAATTTTATTTACATGAATCCTGATTTCGAAATCAAAAGGACTGTTGACTAAAATTTATTACGCCATAATGGAAATGAAAATATATTTTTATGGCCTTATTCATAAAAAATAAAGTAGCTATAAGAAACGTTTATAAATTGAAAAATGTATGAAAACGTCATTTTATAAAGCTCTTTAAACCTACTTTATTTTTTATGAATAAGGCCATTATTCTTTTGCTTTCGCTTTCACTTATGTTTTTATTTTGAAAGATTCAGTAAGATACTAAACTAACGGCATGAAACATGTATATTAATTCTGCATCTGACTGCAGCTTCTATGTAAAATTTGCCTTGAATAGCAAAGTAGAATAGTTTTCGGTATGTATACATATGTACGTACACACATATGTATATATATATATATATATATTTATATGTACACATATGTACGTATATGCAAAGGAAATTTCAAGGCCTTTAATTTCGTAAAAAACAGAAAATTTAAATCGGCTAACTATATCTACAGATAGTTAAGTGTTAGTCAAATGATACAGTTCAGAGCATTATTTTTATATTCGTAAGCTTGTATTATCATGAAAAAAAAACTAACTAAGCTGAAAAGTAATCAAAATTTTCTATTTATTCTCAGCTCTACAATTGGCAAAAGCTCGGAAGAGTCGTTCGGTGATAACGGCGACATATCAAGTACTGATCTATACAATGACGGCGATCTTATCAGCAACGAACTGTCACCTTTTAATGAAATTTCTTCTGATGAAAGTTCAAACACTGAAAATGACGGCGGAAACCTTGACTGGGATGTATTGATATTTACTCAGCAATGGCCGGTCACCACATGTTACCACTGGAGAGAAGAGGATAGCACGCACGCATGTAGTTTACCTGACAAGAAAGAATTTTGGACTATTCATGGCGTATGGCCAACGAAATTAGGCCATATGGGTCCTAGTTTTTGTAACAAGACTGCTGATTTTGACTTGAATCAGCTCGAACAGATACTAACAAATTTAAAAACTTATTGGCCAACAATTGACGGTCAGCAAAAATTGGGGTATTTTTGGAGGCACGAATGGTTGAAACATGGAACCTGCGCTGTAACCCTGGAAGAGCTAGATAATGAGTTGAAATATTTCAAGCAAGGATTGGCTTGGCGGGAGCAGTTCTTAATGTCGAATATCTTAGGAAATGCAGGAATACACCCAGATTCGAATAATACAGTAGTTGCGCTGCAGACGGCTTTGCTTAAAACACTAGGGAAAAACCCCTCTATACATTGCATATACGACAACAAGCGGGATATGAGCTACCTCGAAGAGATTCGCATTTGCTTTAACAAACAACTCGAGCTCACTGATTGCGATGGTGTCTTACCGGGTGACGCCGTATCAATCAATTATCCAGGCGGAACAGTTATCACAAATTGCCACATATCAAAGCCCATACATTATCCTAGCAATATGCCGCCATTATTAAGAATGCGAAAAGCTGATTGGAAATTTCCTGTAGTAAACACCTACAAGTTGTTACAATTCATTATGTGGTTTACGCTGTAAAAAGGCAAAAATTTCGAAGAGGTTTAAGTGGAACAACGTCAAGATCATTCAAGAATGGAGGAATTTTCATATAAAGCATATGTATATGTATTTAAAATTATTGTAATTGGGAAATGAAAATTATCAGCTACCGTTTATATACGATTTGATTTAAGTGAGTGCATTACGTACATAGGTAGATGAAAGAAATTCATATATTTTTAATAATGCAAATGTATAGACCTTTTTTGAATGAGAGCAATTTTTTATACATAAAACATAAGGAACATAAAACGTAATTACGGGATTTAGATAATTGAGAGATACATTCTACATGACGGTTAGCACATATCTGTCGTCATAAGCAATAACCGCCTAGGTCGACTTAAAAAGAATTGAGTTATATATGCTATCGTTTTCTGCATGTGCATGTGATACTTCCACGTCTCGTTACCTAGGCTATTTATAAAGTTTAAGATGAAAATATTTTGGTTTCCCCATAAGGTTAACATTACAATGCAAATCTTTAAAGCGTTTTTTCTCGAATTCGGGGTTTTCAACTTAGGCGATTGTTGCTTATGACCACAGATATTAACTTCGCGTACATTAGTACATAATATCTAAATAATATATTTAAAATGATGTAGGCTTTCCAGCCGTCGTAAAATTAATTTATTAATTTACATTGCAATTTTATGGATCGATTATGAATAGCAACGCAAACCTTAGTTGAGTTGCCGAAGAGCAACGCCACTGAAATGAAAATGTGTATTATGAACAGCAAATATAGTTAAGTGCTACAAAGTTGAATATAATCGAGTTTTGAGGGAGCAGCAACTAAGATTTTAATGTAAATAAGCCGAGGAAACAGTTTATAAAAATAAATAATTTTTCCGCGGTAACTACAAAAATATAGTTGCCAATAAGGCAACTCGTTTGCCAGGTTTCCGTTGCCAGTTGCCATTAGTAATACAATTTCAGCCTCTGGCAACGCAATGAAGTTCGGTTGCCAATCCATAATCGACCATTAATTAGATCTTTTAGTTTAATATACATATTTGACAATAGTATATAGGGAGATTAGGTTCAATAAAATAGCATATGAAAAAACAACACAAAAAACGTATTAACTGAAATGGTGAAAAATGAATCCACAATAAAAGAAACTTCCGAAAAGTCTTTCTGTTAATGTTGTAAGTGCACTTTTTAGGCATATAACCTTAAGTCCAAATGGTCTATTACAAATGTTTGCACAAAACGCTGGAACAAACTAAGCAAGCCTGTGGTTCTGTGTAAAAATATGTTTATCAGCTTTAACGTTACAAGGCTGGTATGCAGCTCTCAAGAAATCGGTCAAGAAAAATTTGCCATTATTTCGTGTGTGTGTCCAAGGAATTTTGATATTTTTTATACTTCACAGCCTGTTGCCTCACTCTTTCCTCAAGAAATACTGGAACGGGCATATATTAGGTGCAATCCCGTATTCCTCAGACGAAAACTAGTAAAACTGTCAAAAAATAAAAATTCGCTCAGAGCGAGAGAGAAACATTGAAAAGTACGCGATCGCTTTCTAGTTAAAAATGGTAACTTCAACATAACCTCCAAATTTTGGTTGTAAATTTTTGCTTATTTTGTATGTAAACACACTCAGCTCACATATGTAAATAACCAAAAATACTTTCAAATTCAATAGAATCCACTTAAACAAGTAATTAAAAACTTTTCAACATGAATTAGCAGAGTGCACTTTTCTTTTGTTTACAATTTGGTTGCCAAACACACTACAGCTGATCGTTTGACACATTTACCAGCAAAAAATTCTCGGACTAAAACTGGTAACTTCTGACAGAGAGAGAACCGTATTTACTCTCTTTTTTGTCCTCTTAATAGTCAGAGAACCGAGTACGGGATCGATTTCCAGTAAAATCTGACTGATTCTGACTATTTCTGACTAGTCCGGACTCGTACGGGATCGCAACTATTCCTGTTGCAAACCTGGGTTGTCTTGTGCTCTTTTTTCACAAAAAACTTTAGAAAAACGTAGTAAAAAGCGTAGCAAATTTCTTAAGAACTGCGTACTGCCAAGGCACATAAATACAGGTAGAAGCCAAAATGACGTTGCTCTCATGAGAACCAAACCTTTAAACTTCAACTTGTTTTTCTTTTATTTCCTATATTTCGTTACGCTTTCAATGTCATATCGTTGTTTTTTTTTATGTTCGTTAATAACAAATTTTAAATAACACTTGAATTTTTGTAGTACTGTGCGGTTTATTCTTAGTGTACATATTAAAAATGCAACAACTCAAACGTTGTTTTTTATGTGGTGTTAAATATAAAGCAAATACCATTAATTTTTTTAACGTGCCTCAATGTCCTTCGCGTAAGGAGCGTTGCGAAAGCTACTGTGGGACAGAACTGCAGTGAAATGCCTTAAACATTTAAACATTTTTTTACAAATACACCGGGAGGTACAGGAAAGGCACGTTTGATGCCTAGTGCTGTTCCTATGACCCTTATGTCGAAAAGTCCCTCCAACAACACTGCAACTGATAAATCAAAAACCGATAACAACATACAAGTTAACGAATTTTAACTAAAGAAAATAAATATATAAAAATAAACATAAAATTCACTTAAAAACGTCAATCAGTGAAATGTACTTTTTTATTTTTCCTTACGCACGCTCATTTTTATTTTTACTCTCCCGAAAACATTGACTTTTGTAATTGGCTTCCACGTGTTTTTGTTGTACCATGGCGTACTGCCTGAAGAAATTTGACTCAAGAAAATTTCTTAGCCATTTCTTGTACGCCATTTTGTATGGAACTTTAGCTTTTCTTGAGAACTGCATTCAGGCCTATACCCTAAAAGCGAACTGGCAACGTTACAATTTTTTTTTAGAATCGACTACATGACTTTTCATATGTTGAATCGAAAAACAATTGTGTACAGCGTCACCGCCACCGTCACATTTACCGTCAACAATGGCTATGCGTAATGTGACCAACCGTACTTCTTTCAGAAGTACAGTAATTCTTTTTTCGCCCTTGTACTTCGAACCTCGAAGTACAGTCAAATGTATTTCTTTGCGATATATTGTACTTCAGGAGCGAAATTCTGTAACCAGTTAGCGACAATTTTTGGATCGCTGTCGCACTTTTTGACGCATGATATAAATGTTTTTGCGTCAAAAGTGCGACAGCGATTCGAAAATTGTCCGTGTACTCCTCCGATCTACTGGACGATCGTCACATGGCCGGGGCGATAAATTCGTTCAAAACATTAAAGTCACCATAGGCTTGGAGGGTAGTCAATGTTGCTTTCATCCCGAAGTCCAGAAAAGGCTCCCCCTAGGGATTTTAGGCCTATCAGTTTCTTTGTTTTTGCTAAAAACGCTAAAGAGACTGATAGACCTGTACATAAGGAACGCGATTCCCCGTGACTGTCTTTCAAGAGCTTAATATGGTTATTGCAAAAAAGGTCGGTAAATACCGCCCTGCACACCTTGGTAAAGTGGTCAGAGGGAGCTTTCACGCATGAAAATTATGCAGTAGGGGCCGTCTTCGATATCGAGGGGTTCTTCAAAAATGTCACTCCAGAGGAATTTGTCAAGTATATTCATAATCTGTTGCGGCGGAGTGGGGGAGCGTCTGCACACAGTGCAGAGTCAATAGGAGCACTCCACAAGGTGATTTTTTAATTATTTTAATATTTTTTTCGGGATTTTTGTCTTGATTCTCTTCTGTTTTCACTCAAAAATCTTATAAATATTATAATATTATGTTTGGGTGTTTGGGAAATCATCACGCGGAAACGACTACACGGATTTGCATGAAATTTTGTATGCAGAAAGCTTATGGGCCAGATTGGTTAATAGGCTAATTTCTTAAGAGTTGCCACCTATTAAAAAAGTTTCATTTATTTAATATTCGGGAACGACTGAATGGATTTGCATGAAAATTCGCACACAGATAGCTTATAACCTAGATTGGAAAATAGGCTACTTTTCTTAAGAGTTGCCACCTGTTGAAAAAGTTTCATTAAATTAATACGCGGAAACGACTGAAATTTTGCAAGCAGATAGCTTATGGCCTACAGTGGAAAATAGGCTAATTTTTTGGAAGAGTTGCCACCTGTTAAAAAAGTTTAATTACATTAATACGCGGAAACGACTAAACGGATTTGCATGAAACTTCGCACACAGATAGCTTATGACCTAGGTTAGAAAGTAGGCTACTTTTTTAAGAGTTGCCACCTGTTAGAAATGTTTAATTTAATTAATACGCGGAAATGAGTGAACTGATTTGCATGGAAGTTTTCACACAGATAGCTTATGAGCTAGGTTGAAAAATAGGCTACTTTTTTAAGAGTTCCACCTGCTAAAAAAGTTTAATTAAATTAATACGCGGAAAAGCCTGAACGGATTTGCATGAAATTTTGCAAGCAGATAGCTTATGACCTACAGTGGAAAAAAAGCTAATTTTTTGGAAGAGTTGCCACCTGTTAAAAAAGTTTTAATTAAATTAATACGCGGAAACCACTGAACAGATTTGCATGACATTTCGCACAGAGATAGCTTATGACCTATGTTGGAAAATAGGCTACTATTTTAAGAGTTATCACGTATTAGGAAAGTTTAATTAAATTAATACGTGGAAATGACTGAACTGATTTGCATGAAGGTTTACACACAGATAGCTTATGACCTAGACTGGAAAAAAGGCTACTTTTTTAAGAATTTCCACCTGCTTGAAAATGAAATTTTGCTCAAAGATAGTTTATGACCTGGATTTAAAAATTGGCTACTTCCTTAACCGGTTTTCCGATCAGAGCGAAATTCAGTACACTTACTACGGATTTCGGAAGAATGGTCTTAGACTGAAAGTAAGTCCGATAACTCAAGGCCTCTCCCATACAAATTGGAATTTTCATATTACATACATATCTCTGGAAGTATTTGTGGGAGAGAACTGAGACTTGGTATAGTGATATGTATGTGAAATCAATGTTCGCATTAATCGATTGATGTTTTAATTAGTTAGTTAATTCGATTAAATTCAATCTGATTACAGTTAATCATGATTAATTTTAATCCGACTAAACAGTTAATGGTAACCGCGATTAAAAAATTATTTTTTAATCATTAACTCTTAATTTGATCAAGTAACTTTGGTGATTAATTAAGTTATGCTGGAATTTCCCTGTGCACACAAAGCAAGTTAATCTGGTATGGCTAAGTCGGGTTTCCTCATCAATCTAAGCAATTTGGTGTGCATTTTCATTAAGATATATACGAACAAACGTTTTGCAAACTAGGTTTGTAAAAGTTCCCAGTTTATGTATTACTAATAACAATAATTATTATTTTTTTTATATTACGTGCTTTTTATAAACATAAAACACAAAATAATTACTATAACTGGTGTTTGGTTTTAAACTCGGACAAACTAGACAAATTAATCAGATTTTATTTTTAATTGGATTAACGATTAATATTTAAAATTAATTAAACGTAATCGCAGCCAGCGATTAACGATTAAAAAAATGTTATCATTAATCGTACAGTTGATTACGACTAATTAATTTTAATCGACAAACGCGATTAACATTTTAATCGTTAATTTTTAATCTTAGACAAATTAATCAGATTTTATTTTTAATTGGATTAACTATTAATATTTAAAATTAATTAAACGTAATCGCAGCCAGCGATTAACGATTAAAAAAATGTTATCATTAATCGTACAGTTGATTACGACTAATTAATTTTAATCGACAAACGCGATTAACATTTTAATCGTTAATTTTTAATCGTTAATCAGATTAACAGTTTGCCAACACTGTGTGAAATCATGTTCATATGCACGGAGAAAAATGGACGTTTTTGGAAAAGAGGCGTAGCACCTCCCATACTGACTGAAAGTTTCATATTGCATATCTCTTCAAATGTTTGTTGGTATGGAAATACATATGTATGCATGTATGTATGTGAAACTAATACCAACTCATGGAGAAAAATGGGAGTTATTGGAAAAGGTGGTGTGGCAACTCCCATGCAAATTGATTTTTCTATGCTGCATATCTCTGGAGGTGTTTATTGCAGAGGACTGGAACTTGGCACCGAGATGTATATACAAAATTAATTCCATACTCAAAGAGAAGAATTTGCGTTATT